GCATCAAGTGCTTCCCCCAGACAACCAGAATAGCAGCGATGCTGCCTTCTCACAAAGGAAGAGTGGGGTTAGAAAAGGTCGACCCTAAAGATCCACACCTCGCCTTATCACACGGATATCCGTCTCTGGCGGTAAAGTTTCAACAAGTACGGAGCTAACACAAAAATTACCCACAAAAAAGTCGTATGTGACCGGCCTCAAGCAGTTATCTCTTGGGCACTGCTGTCACACTCTCAGATTACTAAGACCATTTCCAACCCAATTTCTTTTACAGGTACCTACAGAAGAATGCTTCCACGGTGTGGGTAACCGGAAAGTGATAACTGCGATCATACCTCTAACAGCACTCAAAATCACTGTATTCATAATCGATTTTCCATTTCAATTCCTATCATCACTCCCTACCTCGACTATCAACTCTAAACTCCCTCCTTCGACTTCCATCCCATGTGTAACCATGGCCAACGATGCTAGTGCTAGATGAGTCTGTTTGCATATGAATATGTCTTGATCCACCTCAACTATGTTAATATAAGTTCTCAAGTCGGTACTGGTTGTTTATTAAAACTTTCACTCTGTTTTTTTTGGCTGAATGATCTAAAGTGACTGGCCATAAGTAAATTAAGAATTCCTAATATTTAATATAGTGGGCCGTTTTGAAATTGAACTGTCTTTTTATTTTCAGAAATGTGATTATCTAGGTGTTCTGTTTCATTTTCTTAGTAAGAGTTTGTTTAAAGTGCAGATTGTAAATCACATACCTCGCCATTTATCTCTCTAATGATGACTTTTGAAACCTTGTAAAAGTGACATTTTTAATGTTTTTAGTAGATCAGGACAACATTACTGAAATCAAGGTGAGATAATATCTCTTTATTGTTCCATTGATTCGTCATGTGATGACGATATTTAAAACATGATTTGCTTTGATGAGCCGCGTAATATTGCTACCTGTTGCCTGTGAGCCACAAAATTTGTTTCTCAAAACCCAGCATAGAAACATCTACCTGTCGTTTATGGAGTGTTACATTAACTCAAACAATTCTGTGAATGATCTATTACATCTTTCAGCTACTCCTATTTGTAGGGGCACTAATGCGTTCATATTGCCTACTTTTATTTTTGACGCAGGTTTATTTAAACAACTTAATCATGGAAGATGCTGCCCGTCAAAAACAAGTGATTCTATCTAAATTATCTGGAATCAATGGTTCTTTGCCGAATGTCGAGCCAACCAAAAACGTGTCTATTGATTCGTTATCAGCCGAGGATAACAATTTTGAAAACATCTCACCGAAGCACCAAGAAATCCTATCGAAAATAGATAATACTGCTCAAAAATACATTTCAGAGCTTAATGAACTGTTCTGTAAGGTAGGTAATTGTATTATACTAAAGATTTTGATGCCACATCAAGTTTTATGTATGCAATCATATATTTGGAATGTTGTTTCCCAGTAAGTAGATTTAGAAGGCTTTTCACATTCACACACGAATTATGGATATGGAACCCTAACCAGGTAGTTCTTTAATATGCGAACTAACTATACAGACTAGACTACCGTATAGTATGGTGTAATATATGTAGTTTTCACTTTACTGGCAGTGCACTTATAACCTCCACAGCCACATTGAGTCGACTATAGAGAACCTAGAATCTGGAACAAATGTTGGTACGTGTATCTGTACTAGAATACATTTAATCTTGGTGACCTGGCATTTTCACTAAGACTTGAGGTTTATATAATTATTCATTTGTCCGTAACAGTCATGTCTTAAACCTTCAAATTATTTCAGACCTAAATTCCACAATATGTAGTTAGTCACCATTCATCATCAGTATCGCAGTAGGAGCTGAGAAATGGCATTTGAAATTGCTCATTTTGTTTGAAAATGGTCATTTCGTAACTGACAATTTAATCAATTTTTTTCATTGGCTATTCTGATTCCTTCAAAGAAAGTCAGAATCGTTATTATGGAGTACTTATTTGTTATCAACGATGTCTTTAAAATTATTATGTCACTTGTAGTTTAATCACTTCACCAACAGTTTTTTTTCTGGTTACATCAACCAAAGTCTTTACTTCCGAAAGATATACTGGGGTTTTCATGTAAAAGTTTCTTAGAAGGAACAACTAAGAAACTTCTGGTGTTTTGATTTACTAAGTTATCACAGTACTTTTGTAAAGAATTTCTCCATACCAAGTATCACAAATACACCTCGTATAAAATAGAATAAACAAATGTATGATCAATTTGAACACTTGATATTTTGTAGGCTATTATTATTATTATGTGTCGAGCAATTTACTGATGCGATTTACGATTGAACATTGATTCTCTTTTAAGACACTTGAATACGTCATCTCATTGAAATATCTCAAAATGCAGTGCAATCACAAATTATAGCAGACTTGCAATAAAAGTTGGTCTTATTTACTACTGACATCACAAAAATGCTTCATTTGGTTCATTAAGCAGTTTAGAAAGTCAATTTTTGTTTTATACTTAGCATACGAAATGAATAAATTGTAAGTTACTTACTATTTTATAGGTGGACGAACGCCGAAAAAAACGTGAGATTCCAGACTACCTTTGTGGTCGTATTAGCTTTGATCTAATGCGAGATCCTGTAATAACACCTTGTGGAATTACCTATGATCGACCTTCAATTATATCTCACCTGCGCCAAGTTGGACACTTTGATCCTGTTTCACGTCAACCATTGATAGAAGATCAGCTTATACCAAATTTGTCTATGAGAGAGGTTGTACAAGCTTTTCTAAACGAAAATCCTTGGGCTGAAACATTATAAGCACTACAACTACTATTCGTATTCATTTCGCGAGTAACTGTATTACCTCGCATCATTGCTTCTAAGTCACTCAATTTTACATTTCTCTTCATCTTTTGAACTGCAATGTATTTTTTGCTTTATCGTTGCGATATTTAAAGTAAATTATTAACTCTATATTCTAAATTTTAGATTTCTTATCTTGAAAAATATAAATATAAATCATTTCTGTTGTTCATCAATTATTCAAAATTGAAATAAATAATTAGTTACCTATTTTTTTAATTTTTCCTTTTAATTGTCATGTCGTACGATCTAACTCCGATTTATACTTTCTATAGTCTAGTCCCAAAGTTTAATACCTATTTTGTGCGTTACTGCACGTTTGTTCGAACTATGTATGGCCGACGTCGAGCCGCAGCTTTGCCTAATGTCTCCAGACGCCAGGGTGATGTTGTAACAACAGATGCTGTTCAGCGTGTTGACTGTTCAGAAGCCACTATTGATACATTGCATTCTCGTCTACTGAGTCGATCGAGGCCTGTGGGGGCGTCGTTCATTTCTTCATCATCATCATCCAGTAATTCGTCACGTTCACCACCTCCACTAACAAGACGAACACGTCAGGTCCGTAGACTAGACCGGACTCATCATCTGTCCCAGGTTAGTTTCCACCTATTTTCTACATAAACTTAGTAGTTCTGAATACTAAGATATAATCAAGATACTGTAGATTTGTTCTTGATTCTCTGCTTCACAAGCGTTACCGGAGTCAATAATTAATGTAAACACGTTATACTGTCCTAGCACTTGACGAAATATCTTTTCAGTTTAATTATTTTGTAATATTATACTCAGTGTTTATTTATTAGTAGCGTGTTACATAAATATTTTTAGATATTGTATGTTAATTATGTAGGTAATTATAGGAAGTCTGCAACACTGATCGGACAATGACTTCAGTTACAAATTATCCATGTGTAATAAACAGTACTGTTACTTTACAATATAAATTAAGTCATTTATCAGTGACGCTAATTTTTGAAAATTTTATTTATGAGTACGGGTTCAATAGATACCCACATTAAACTAGTTATTCAGGTAGTGTAATTGTCATTCACACAATATCATTCAGCTTGGAACTTAGCACAAATACTACGGTACTAATAAGTTTCTTTATATCTAAACTTTATCTAGTTTGTCTAGTTAATATTTCGCAATGAATAAAGTATTTTTGTAGTATATGAAGCTATAATTTCCATCGATATTTATATTATCTTGCCTAGTATTCAGCGTGAAAATCACTAGTCTTTATTTAAACTGAAAATGTTCTTGGTTAAGTTAGATTTATAAAAAATGACATTCAATGTGACCAAGCCACATGTTAAGTATCCAACCAGACTAACCTTAACAAGGTAATATAAGTGACTTCGTGAATCATCATGCGATTGCTTTAAAGCTGGTTACGTACATCACACTTAAAGAGTTTATATTGCCAATGGTTTATTTCTGTATGGTTTGAAAACTTTGAGAAATCTAAAACTCTACTCTTAAACATTTTATTTGTTGTAAATATCGCACTATGTTGGATCATTTGTTTTCTGAGTTATTTTATTTATGGATTTATCTTCTATACGAGTTTTTAATTTGATTAGGTCATTTTTTTAAAACATTTTTCTCAGGTATCACTGGAGTGGATACTTTTGCCTGTTACACAATGTCCTAGTTTGTAGTATATTGAAACGTAACTAAATTCTGATTATTGCTCTCTGTAACAATTAGCTCTTAACTTTTCGTGATCATCCTTGTTGCTTTTATACTTATCACTACTGTATTTTTCAACGTCTTCTTGGAAAAACACAAGGTTTTCTATTCTGAATGTCAATCTTTGGGTAAAGCTGATATTGAGATTGAAGAAATATGTATAACTCCAATTCTGGTTTTTATATACTTTGTTATTTTTCCCACTTCTGAAGAACAAGCTGATCTGATTATATAGTTCAGGAACCTCAGTTACTTTTTACATACTCTACCGTCACTTCATCGATATATTTGTTGTATTCTACGTGATTTTCAGCGTTCTACTGCTAATCCAAGATCACGTAGTCGTGGTTTATCAGATAACCTAGAACCGAGCAATCCCAATGTTCCAGCTTCTCTTCCTCGTCGGAGTCGTCGACGTGCTTTCGTCCGTCCTCCATTTCTTCAACTTTTGTTTTCCTCTCATGGAAGTCCTTCATATCAAAATGAGTCGACCGCTGAAAGTGTTAGAATAAACCTGGAGAGTTTTAACGATGATAGTATCCAGTTAACTCGCACTGAAGACCTTGATTCCAGTAACAGACCTGGACGTTTACGTACCACCAGGTCTGGAAGAAGAGCCACACGTCGACTATCAGCAACAAATACGCGTTCCGTACCTTCTACGAACATCCCATCTACCAACCATGCATCACGTACAAACAATAGTAGGCGCTCTCAAAGTCTTATTGATTGCCCAGATGTTCGGGCGGCGCTGGCAGCAGCTAGATCCACTGGCCTTGAAAGTGATGACGATTGTGTAATCTGTTTGTGTGAAAAATCAAATCGTTGTGTTGTTTTACCTTGTATGCATACATTTTGTTATGATTGTATTTATCGTTGGCTCTGTATCAATCCTTCTTGTCCATTGTGTAAACGTTTGGCACAAAAAATTATTCATTCCGTTCTGTCTGATACAGAATTCACTGAATTATTAGTATCTGATTTACCAAATAATAACCGACGTAATCGAGTGAATAATTTATCCACGACATTTCGCTTAGATGATGAATACTTAAACGCATCACCAGATGACACCACTATTCCACGATCACACCATCATTATCACTATCATCATCATTTAGGTACACATCAAGTGCGTTTACTCAATTATCTCGATGGAGTGACTCGGTCACCATCAGATAGTACTTCGTTATACATACCTCCCATTCTTTTTCCATCTGATACCTCAATATCTCAATCAAGAGCGGTCGGCATTCTTGATACTTCGTCACACATGTCATACAGATGGAATCCAGAACTAGGGTAAGTTTTGTATATTTCCTTCATTTCTAAAAGGCATTTTATGTGTATCATAAACGTGTCCTCTTTTTAAAATGTTATCTTGAAGAATAAATTCAATCATTTGAATATATATAAGACAATGTTTTCGACTTTGATTATGAGTAATCAATTTTTGTACAAAATACACCTTGAGCCCCTCTAGAGTTACTGCACATCCCATGCCTGGGATAAGCGAGAGAAGCTCAGGCGTACGACTAACAGCCTCACTTTATAAAAACAATCTCACCAAAAAACGCTAACCAGAAAAAAACATTTAAACTTTGTCCTGTGAGTTGGACGGTCTTCAAATGAAAAAATTAGGACACGTCATGGTAAAAGCCACTTCTCCGGAAGTTTCGAGGCCGGTGTCCTTCCTGACGCTGTCAAAAGAAGCACAAAGATCGCTTATGAGACAGCAAACTTATGGCTTCAGGATTACCAAACATTCTTACCTGGCAGAGGCTATGTACGCGTGGTCATGTGAGAGCATTTCGACAGGGTGAGCGGACTCTCCCCACTCTCGGCTGTACCAGGGCGTTTGGGGGCTACCTATGGAGTACCAATCCGTTAGCCAGCACAAAGAACGGATCCCTGTAAACGCTCTGCGCACGACTGAAGAAAGGAAAAACAAGAAGACGGCAGTCAACACTGCTCGAACAAGAGCAGAGAAAAACACATGCCAAATACGCAAAAGCAAACAAAAGAATGAAGGGCATCACAGCTGAAAAGTGGAAATATGCAGATCTGGCAAATACTGTAGAAAAACTGCAAGCAAAGGGATTTCGGAAGAAACAAAATATAATCAGGAGAATAGTAGGAGAATATGGTCCACAAGAACAACTAGTCAGCTACAAAAAAGGAGAACCAATCACTAAGGATCAACAGCAGAAGAACAGGTGGGTAAACACTTTGAAGAACTCTTCAATAGACTGACTAGGGTTATATTATTACAATAGGAGGGTATCTGGAACTCAAAACAACTGTCAGTCAACATCAGAGTCGGAATTTTCAGCACAAACGTCAAAACATCTCCAGATATTGGAGCTGAAACTTGCAGGACTACTACAACTGTCATCATCAAAGAAGCACAGTTATTTATAAACAGGGATAGAAGAACAAAAGCCTGAGGGAGGAACATGATTGTGGACAAGCTGATCCCGGAGGTCGTTAGATATATGAAGATGATCGTAACTTCACACCTGCCCAACTCAATGGCGTGACGGAGTCACCGCCGGGTCCAAGTGGACACTGTTTGTGACAGATCACATACAGAATTTCGTTGGAAGTTTTTGATGTTATTTACGAACTTCAGAAATCCTTGCAGCCAGAGACGGAAATCTGTGGAATAAGGTAAGATTTGATATAGTTAGGGTCGATCTTTTCTAGCCATTTGCTTCCGTTATGAGAAAACAACATCTCTCGAGATGCCAGGTTTATGTGGGAAACACCTTACTGCCACCACACCCATACATCGTCAGCCGTACGACTTTGTCCTTGGACCTCAAGTTGCTGCTTTAATCTTACCGTTATTCAACTGACTTCCCTGGCATTGTAGGACTTGAAAGAAATGTGTTTTCACCAAATGTATTTCGATTGGGTCACCACGATAGGTAAGTCTAACTATCACATCATGATAGCAGCTACGATCGGTTCTGAAACGATTCATAAAATATCTATCTACACATGCTATTGCATGAATAGTCAACTTTCGCGCTTAAGTTAGGAAGAAATAACCTTTTACTGAAATCTAATTGATAGAGAACCAGACAAGTTTAACTAAACTTATTCCATGTCAGTTTATATTGCTCTATATACTTGGGAAGGAACGCACTAAAACATCAACAAGACTGAATTAAAATAACGTTACCGAATTTGATTATTTTAATTTATACAGCTGATACTCAGACTTAAATGCTATTGTTTTCATTATGAACAGT